TAAGACTTATTCAGAGCTGAAATGCTAATATGGTCACCAAAAGTAGCACATATAATACTCATCTGCATTCCTTAATGCAACCTAACAGGGCGTTTCCGCACGTTATGTTTGTTGTCATGGGGAATTAAAGTGTAGTTTTACAAAATCACAGCTTACGGCCCAATCCCAAACAGGCCCCTAAGCACCTTAAGCATTAACCCTCAGTTTGCGCATTCCTGCGGAGGGTCAGCCACATTAAGGGCTATCCTAAACCAGGGTGGGTGAATGGACCGTTCAGCCCTTAAATAGTGAGTCTGCATCAGTTGCAGGCTCACTGGAATTCGGCCACAAGTGTAACAGTGTAAATTCCAATGGTTTCCTGCATTAGTTGATGAAAAAAAACATAATTAATTCAAAATGGAAGGTCCTCTTTGAAATTGTTTTATTTGACCGTAAACATTTGTTTTAAGAAAGGCACAAATGCGCGATGTTATGTTAACCTGCGCCAGAGAGCTACAGCCACGCACATGGGGCGTCACTCTGTTGCCATAGCAACGACTGCTTACCTTTTCCATTGGTGGAAAGAAGCTATCTCATTCTCGTTTATAAACACCCACCTTCAATCAAGGTGCCTTCCACAGTTGGGAGACTGACTTCATTGGGAGTGACATTTTATAGTTAAGGCTTAGTGCTTAGGGCCCGGTTTGGGATTGGGCCTACCATGGAGTAAACTGCTCACCTTCTTGCTCCTCTTTTGCTCCAATTTTTAACTCCATGCTTATGTTAGCAGCAGCTGTGCGCTTATGTTTGCAGGGAGGGGCAATGCAGAGAGAGCTCTCTGTTAGGGGAGGGGCAGGAGCAGAATCAGAATGCGGCAGAAGTTTCTTTTTGATGTTTGCAGAAAATTTTGTCACATTTAGGCTGATGTTGATTAATAATTGTAATTGAACGTTGTTGATCTCACATTGGAAAAATTTACCTCTACATTTAACCCATCCCCTTGGCGAGCAGTGGGCTACCATTGTGCAGTGCCCAGGGAGCAATCGGGAGTTAGGAGTCAGAGACTAAAATTGGCCCGATAAAACTGCTCGCCGTTTAATCGGTTGGGTTCTTTAGTAACAAAACATTAAGTCATGTAGTGAAAATCTTGGTTTGGATAACAACTGACGGATATGTAAGACTCCCATTTCAAGTCTGGACACTCAAATTTGTTCATACAAATGCTTCCTGCATGAGGCAAAATGTTCCTTATAGGGAAACATGCGCTATATGTGCAGGAAGTGAACATAAGAGTTGGCCTACCACTGTTCCAAACAAGCTCAATACTTATTTGAATCCCGGATATTGAGGTGTTAGCCCCATAGACTTGGAACCCATCATCATCACCTCAGTACAAAGATATAAAACTCAACTAACATCCAACATTTCACCCAATCTAAACCATCCCAAGTCACCAAAAACAACAGCTTGTGAATAAATAGAGATAAATAGACATATATATTTATAAAATAAAGGTGCAACAATTAGCTATTGCATGGGGAAATAAAATGTTATCCCATTTCTGATAAGGCATGAGCCTCTCGATCTTTATCCTGAGGGAGACACATTGAACAAAGTTTGCTGAGAGTGGTTTAGTTTCCAATAATGGTTCTGGCTACCTGCACCTGCTGCCTCACAGTACATCTGGAATGCCTGTGATATTAATTACCTATGATATTACTTTTACCAACCTACCTAATTTTGTAGAGTTCTTAATTAAGGCACTTACCAAGCAAACTCAAAGTGGATTTATTAAAAGAACTAAAATTAAGAATCATTAATTTTCTATTTACAATAAAAACCTCAAAATTTTAGAAAAAGTGCTGTATTTTATTAAAGGTTGGTTTGGAATCCTATTATTCATAACTATTCTAAGGTTTATTATTTGAAGATATTCATTTGGTTTTTGATGAGGGTGAAAACACCTCTCAAAATTATCTACCATGCTTTCTGCTTTTTCAGTGCTCAGATTTAGATTGGTTTCATCAGATAATTTTATAAAGTCCTTCACCATAGGCTTGTCTTTATCATCATACAGAAAATAATAAACTCTCAGCTGAAAGTTTAAGGACAGGCCTGTTCTCATGGTAACTCCTACGGATAACAGTGAACAGGATTTACAATGTACAGCAAACATCCTTGGGAAGATCAAATGGCTGAGAGATGAAATATTGTGCCATTTGCTCTCAGCCTTTACAGAATATGTCTCTAAAAATAATTAAAATTAAAGATATTACATTTATATTAATTTGAAATAATTCAACTGCTGCTGCGGTAAATTACTTTGATTTATATTACCAAAAATGGATGAGAAGTCCACAATGAAAAGTCATCTGAGACAGACCAAAAGCTGGTCAGTGATAAACAGATAACTTTTTTCTGTAATCTAATGTCCCTCTTATGTTGCACCTTTATCTTTTTAAAGATTTCTCTTTAAATTCCTGCCAGAAATTTGCCCTTTAATGAAAGTAATCTGAAATCTAACTCTTTTGTGACACTTTTAAATTAACTTGAAATCAATATTTTATGAATCTATGTTAAGAAATTGTCAAAGTATCGATGTTCATGTTATCTTCAGGTCAATGTGTATTTTTTAATACCCGAGTCCTGAGACTTTAGTACATGGAATATTTATGAACAATCTGATTAACAAAGGAAATAGGACCTTGCTCAGGTTATAAACAAACTTGAGGACATTTGGAATTCCTTTAAGGACTGAGTTGGAAGATCAGCAGTGGAACCACTTTGGACTTCATTTTGCATATACACAACATGTTGGTCTTAACCATGTTGCTCAATATGGTCACCAGATTAATGTTCGAAAGCTGTTTTTTGTTTTGTTTTTATCCTGACATGTTGTAGTACCATTAATCAGGCACTTGGTCAAGGTACAGTACTATAGCAATGCCCATTGTAATAGGAAATCGATGCATTTGAAAGCAGTCACGTTACACCAGCATTGTTTAAACAAGGACGGCACGCTGATATCGTAATACTTTATGTTTTTGGCCTTGAGCCCCGCACTGCAAATCCTCCAATAAATATTTCTGCCAACTCCTGGGTGGATATAAGATGGTCACAAATAATTCGGACAGGGGCTCTATAATAGTTGTTTGCTTTTTTAATATTATTCAGCCTGATTTTTGTTGGTGTTTAAAAACAGTAGTGCATATAGGGTCATATTGGAGGTACTTCAGATTAATACTTTCTACCTTCTTAATTCGAGAGTATTTAGTCTTCCACTTTTCATGGTAAAATGAGCTTTGTCAAATAATCTGTTTTTAGCATTTTTTATAAAAAAAAAAGTCCTAAGCTTTATTTGTACTGTATGTGGGGAAAAACAGACCACTGATCATTCATTAGCACTGCTGTACTAACACAAAGACTAGAAAATTAAATGTTTTGAAGATCATTCTGTGGTATTTATACTTACTGTATGGCTATTGTGAAATTTAAATAAAGTTGTGTCTCTTATCAGCTGTGCTGACACTACAAACCAGATGTTCATCTGACAGCTTCAAGCAAAAAGCCTTGTATTAATATATTGTTACACCAATTTGGCGAAACGCTACCTTGGTTAACTTAGCAGCAAGACAGCTGAAGGAAGAGGACTCTTTTCCCCGACAGTATTGAGGAGAAATCATCTTTAAAAAGCAATTGTAAACTATTTATATTTACCATTTGGTGATCTATAAAAATTAAAATACTTTGTCTTCTGCTTGGTTTGCAGCACTTCCCTTTAAATGCTGGGTTTGATTGACAAAAGATTGAAAAAAGAAGACATTTTAAACAGTATTGTCACCATATATGTATTTTGTCCCGTTTTAATTAATTATGTTTATAATATATAAACACTAAATTAGTATTATAAAAAGAGTAACTCATCCATCTTAGTTATATAGAAACTATTTCATCAAGTAGAAGAAAAAGTACAACAATTAAACAAATGCACCCAACCATCAATAAGGCACAGAACATGGTCTGCACCACATTGTAATCTTTTACAAGCTCATCTTGTTGCATTGCTAAACCCAATCATTTGTAAATAAGCAGATACTAGTCATAATCAGAGAAAACATTCAACTAATCTTGCTTTCTCTAATTTCTTATGCAAAAGTTATATTAACAGAATAATACAATGGACAAAGGAAAGGAAAACAAGGATTGTCTAATAATTTTTCAGAGAATACTTGCATGGGGTAAAGTGTGTATCCCTTTCGCAGAAGCTTTATTCCTGTAAAGCTCAAATCACTGGTTGATTCCCAACCCTTTGACTTTTTCCGCATGCTGCCTCTTTCTCTCAATCCTGATTTCTTTCAGTCTAATTTTAAAAAACAAAAAAAACTAGTGCTAGTGCCAAAAAAGCAGCAGATGAAGAAAAACAAAGAAAAAAGTTTCTCTGCTTTACCATTTTAAAGATAATTGCCTTCAATAGATTTTCTTTAACCTACACATTTTATTACTGAAATCAGAAACAGTGAAACTGTGTCATTTTTTTTCTCTGACATTAGTAGCTAGTAGCTTGGCTTAAAGCATATTAGATTAAACAATGAGGATATTTATCAAGTACAGAGGACACTTGAGTTTTTACTTGAAGACATTATTTGCAACAAAAAAACTGCAAAGCAAACAGGCTGCAAAATCTGCCTCCCCAGGAAGCGATTTAGTTGACATCAGTAAAACAACAAGGCCTTTCCTACTTCTATAATAGTAAGCATATCTGCAAAAATGCTCACTGTGAAGATTCTCCCACACCAATAAGAAGCAGAGCAACTGAACCTTTGAATTTTTCATCAAGCAACATCTGCAGAAAATGGAAAATATGACCAAAAAAAGCATCAGGGGAAAATGGGCTGGAAATCTGAAAATCCCTGATTAGTTTTCTGGTGTCACTTTTAAAAAGTAAGACAATTTTTTCACAAGGTTAAAAAAGAAGATGGATCCGAGTTTGCAGTTTTTTAAAATAGAAGCATTTTTCTTACCTGTGGTCGTTCAGCTGATCCAGTAGAAACACAGATGAAAACTGGAAGAAAAGAAAAGAAATGAGATGCTTTTAAATGAACACAGTACCAAAAGAGTGAAATCAAATCATAAATTGGGACATCAAGAAAAGTCACAGCTGGATTGCAGTGTGTGATGCATATCATTCATCCATCATAATTTGCAATTAGAGACCAGGGAGCATCTATCTAATTACACTGTTGCTGGTTAGGGAGAAAAAATATTTTTCTCTTCACATGTTTGTAGAGTTATACAAATCAATACATTAAACACATGCTGTAGCACCCCCGATAATAAAAAAAGAATATATATATTTAATTTAAAGAAAAGAACTGTTCTTTTTATTCTTTTGACCCAACAGAGCACTGAGTAAAAAATCCCCAGGGGTCCTGGTTCTAACCTGAACATAGCTGATTTCTTTTTAAAGGGAAAGGTTGGCTAGGAATTTTAATCTGGCAAAAAATCAAAACTGTAAAATGAACTAAAATGTATCCTATGATTGAACCTATTTTATGAGAACAATAAATTCTATTTGACTTTTATGAGCCAGTCTGCAGTAGTTTAGTCGAATATTTATTCAATTTACTTAAAAGGCAGCAATTAACTTAAATTGACTTCAAAGCACCAGTTGAAAAGAAATGAACAAACTTATTCATCCAATTAGTCTCTTTATAAAAGCACAAAAAAATCAAACACGCCAACACATTTCGGTAATAAGGAGTAGAGTTGCAGAACAAAAGCCTTTTCATCATTGATTGATCTCTCACAGAACATGTGGGAGACTATGTTCAGGTCAGAAGGAAGCAAACAGAAACTTTTTTTTTTTTTTTTTTTTACACAATTCAAAAAGTTTATTTTGGACCAGAACCTGTACTATATACCACAAAAATATGTATGTGATATATTTGTGGTATTGTCATTTTCATGGCATTTTACTTTTCAGCATCACGGTGAACAGCATACCTCCAAACAAACGAGCCAGAGTTCAAAACTAAAACTGTCAGGAAACCTGTGAGGTCATGTCATGTGGGCACAATTTTTGATGGGTGCATCTCAGCTGGTCAGAGGTGGACAAGACCTATCCTGACAGGCTGAAAGATTTAGATAACTTTTATTTTTTCCCGGTTGAATGGAGAGACACTGTAAGGTCATAGAAATACAAAAATAAGTCGCAGAAATACTACCAACACTGCCAAAGAAGACTGCATTCCATAAAATGGTTTAAGATGTGTTTTAACAAAGTAATACTTTAATGTTTTATGCAACAACAGTATTGCAGCATTTATTTTTAATTTATTTTCCGTCTAATAAATTACTGTAAACAGTTTGCTCATGATAAATCATCTTTTTGTTTTTTTTCTCAACGACAAACTGTGTTGATTATTATATTTCTTCACCTTAGAATGTTAATCTCGCCTACCAGCTGAATTTTCATGGTATATCTGTAAGTTTAGAAACACACAAGAATCCATCTTATACGGCTCCAGTTTAAAACGTTAGAATTCAACATAAAACAGGTCAGCCAATTACTTTGCTGTATTATGGTTTAAAGCGGGACATAAAGTTTTGATGAAAGCAAGGGCTGCCAAGCCCAGAGCCAAAGGAAAATAAACATGGCAGGGCCGGTAGGACGTACAGGTAGCTGCTTTTATCACATCCTTTTTTTCAGAATCCAGGATTTCATCTTTAAAAGAGTGTAACACCCGACTTAATTGTTGTTTTTCTACTGCTATTTCATTTGTTACTATTATTGGCAAAAACCACACTTTGGTCGGCGTCACTTTGCCCGATCAGTTCGAAGGTTCTACTGAATGCCTCTTCTTTCACAAAAACAGATTAGATGGGAGCAGTCAATGTGTTAAATTAGACCTGAGTACTACACATTATAAATATGGCTTAGGTCAATATAGGAAAGAAAGGAGCAAATGGCAAAATGAAGGTATGCTGTAATTGGACCAAGATGAATAAACCTTCTTTTACAAAGTGTGGATCTTGTAACTGGAACTGATGCCTGCTTTGAGCCCTATAAATTAAGATGCAGTGTGAAAAGGAAGGAACAATGAATAAATTGTTGACACATTTGGCAAAAAAAAGAGCACTTAGGTCTGTGCACTGAGCTTCATTAATTAATTAGATCTATGTTGGTCATAATTAGTGTCACCTCTGCAATGTTATGGTTTGGGCTTGTGTAGTACATGCATCATAAAAGGGTTGAAAAAGACTATTTAGCTTTAAAAAACACAAAAGGTCTAGATTTTCCAAAAATAAGACTGTAAGTAAACCATTTATTATTTAGGCTCTTAGAACAATTTGACTGCATGTGAATACATGTCAAAAGTAACCAGCTTTAAATAATGATATTTTTTCTGGGGGCGATTGAAAGGAAACAACTATAACCTTGTTTTTTCCTTTGTGGTCTAGTGTACTTGATTCCCACCTAAAGTCTGTTTCTAACTTAGAAGATAGCTTCTGGAAAGTCATTTATTTTTGAACACAGTCTTTCAGAAATGGTCAACAAATGGTTTTAAATTCATCTTAGAGCCCATCTTTCCTAAAAGCTATGTCATATAGATATCAACAGGCAAAAACACTTTATTTCATGTCTTTCTGATTCAAGGTCAAACAATAAAGGCAGATAAAGAGATAAGAGTGAAAAGCAAGAGATATTTACTCATCATCTATGTTTACATTCAACAAAAATTCACAACAAGCATGAAATGTACCTGTATTAAAAAATAATAATAAAAATACTGTAACAATTGGATTGCACCATTTACATGAAGAAAATTAATCACATTAAAATGGGACATCAGATTAAAAAATTATCATGTAAACAGGCCAATTATATTATTCATATATAGTGTCAGAATACTCTTGCAAAACATTTAACTTTAATACAGGGTGCACATGCTCACTCAGGTTAGCCTCCCTCATTCAGAATAAATGGATCCTAACAAGCTTTTACAAGCATGCTGATTGGTTTGTTAATCAGCATAACAATTTTAGAATCTCTATTCTCCAGTTAACGGTTAATCGATTATTGAATTACTGAATATTGAATCGATTAGTTGATTATTTCAATAAGTGATAAATCAGGAAGAATCTAATTAATTGTTTCAACCCTAGTTTATAGTCTTGATGGAGCTTAGAGCAATTTCCGAAGGTGGTTGTGGAAAAGTAACTGTCTGACCCAAAATAGAGGTAGTTCTTTTCCTGCCAAACAATGAGATACAACCACCAAATTGCAAAATATGCAAGTAAACTAGTTGATAATTTATTTGTTTGGCTCCAAACATTGCAACGTTTTAGTAAATTACAACTCAAGCGTAATATTGAAATGCTGTCAATGCATACATCTGTATACAATATTTCTCTTATTTATTTTATGCAGGCTATGCCAAGGTGCATTTATTTTGGTTGCTCCACTTTCTGACTCTGACCTTTTATCTTTGAAGGAGAAGCTGCAGGAGAGCTGGAGAAAAACAATGAGCAGCAACCTGAAATGTTTCCATTCCTTATATAAAAACACATAAATACATATAAAACCAGTTTTCCTTAATGTTATAATACCAACAGAAATTCATACTCCCCCTAATTGGCTTCATTTTGTCTTTCATGTTAACAGTTTCAAAATTACAGAATACTAAAAATGTTTCATACATGTAATGTCATACTTGGCCGTATGATCCATGCTTGCAGCTTGTTGGCTTTAAAAATAATAAAATCATATCTTAGATGTCCCCATGTGACCAGGGAGAAAAAGAGAAGTGGCACCGATTTCAATATCACGCAATATTGACAAGTCCTTAGAAGATCTAGTAGCTGCATTTTCTTTTCAATTCAGTTTATTTATATAGCGCCAATTCACAAACATGTCTTCTCAGGGCCTTTTACAGAGACAATTAAATCAGATCACACAGAAGCTTTCTATCTAAAGAAAAGCAGCTGATTACATTGAGTCACTGACTTTAAAGGACATGCTCCTCCTGGATGAGCATGTGGCGAGAGTAGATATTCGCTTGTATTTTGTTGTTAACTGTACAGAAATTCATCACACAGAGCATGCATACAGAAACAGTGAAGAGGAAAAACATCCCTTCAAACAGGAAAAAACCTCAGAACCAGGCTTAATGTGAGAGGCCTTTTGCCAAGGCCGATTTGGATAAAAAGTTATCCCAATGTCCTCCAGCAGCCTAAGCCTATATCAGGATGACTTTTGCGATAGCAAAGGATAACCAGAGCTCCTCTAACAATAAGTTGGGCATTGTGTAATAATTACATGGATTGACTGATGTGTGTGTGTGT